TGACATACTCAACTTAATTTTGGTTCAAGCAAAGAGGGACTTTCCGAAGTAGTATTTGCAAACTGGGTTTATAACCAGAAACAACATGAGAGGACATGGTCATGTTTGTTGCCGGTGCAGAGTTGCCGCTATCCACAGTAGTAAGCATGCCCATGATGCAGTTCATTCATACACGTCTCCAACCCAGTACAAACTGACAAGTCGATGTACGTTACGCAATCATGCAATTAATTTATATTGTGTTAAAAAAATCACAAATTATTGATGATTAAAGAAACCTTAAAATATGTCATTTCTCAACATTTTCCAAGTTTTGTAGTTTTTGATAGGACAAATTTTGCCGGGAAAATGTTTTTCTCCATTACCTCACGGGCCTACTTTCCTGGATTTGGAGGAATTGCTTTTCTTTTGTTTTTTGTGGGAGTTGATTTTTCAGGTTTTTTTTGGTAAAAGGAAAAAATTATAGGTACAATGGTCAAAAAAATTATCATTTTTATTGACAATTTTTATGCAAAACAAAGCCAAATGAATAATATTGGTATGATAATTTTTTTTTAATTTTTTAATTTTTTTGACAATTGGAACAAATTCTAGACCCAATAGTAAAAAAAATTATCACTTTAATCGACAATTTTCATGAAAAACGAAGCCAAGCAGACGCCAAACTTTCAACATTTTTCAGGTGAAAAATTATACCAATCAAACACAATTAATTACAATTCCTAATAAAACAATTTTTAGACAATTTAATTCCCTAAAATTCATTTTATTCTCACCAATTTTTCACATTTCCAATCAAACGGACCCTTATTTTCGATTTTTGGTATGGAAGAAATCATAAATATTATAATTGTGTTACTGTCCATTACAATGACAAGTTTTTGATTGTGCATAAAAAAATTAAATTTAAATCATTGAATTCCCGCACAAAGCACAAAATATTTTCAATGTTTTAATGGTTATGCTACGAGAATATTTTGCGAAGACATGGTCAATATGTCACTCTTGATAACGCTAGTGTTAACACAAATATTATTGACAAAATGATTAACCAATTCAATTAGAATTTTGATGGAAATCTTTTTCCGTGAGTTGTGCTCGTCATATTTTTAATTTGATTGTGTAAGACGACCATAAATATATTGCACCACGGCTCATGAAAATTAAACAAGCTATTGCTTTTATTTTTGCATTGCCTTCTCGAAAGCAAGTGTTTGCGAGTTGTCTGCAATGGATATAGTAATAGGTGAAACTGTACTTTTCTCAGACAATCTTGTGTTAATTATGATACATTTACATTAATTTTTATAATGAATACATTCATTCAATACTGATTCTCATTTTAATTCTAATGGCATGACTAATTTTTTTTTTTTTTTTTTTT